AAAACAGCATGGCACTTCCTTTAAAAAATGAAAATAGAATTCCATATGATGCAGCAATACCATTCTACATTAATACCCAAAAGAACCAAGGCAGGGTCTTTGCACACCATATATAGCAGCACTATTCGTAACAGCCAAAAGGTGGAAGTCGGGGTCCAGGGATTTACCTGCCTTGCAAGCACAAGGACCCGAGTTCGATCCCTGGTACCAAAAGATGGAAGCCAGGTGTCTACTGGTGGATGAGCACACAAAACGCTGCCTAGCCCAGCAAGGGAATATTACTCAGCCTCGAAGAGGGAAGAGATTCTGATAATATCTGCTGCAAATTAAGGCAGACAGGAAAAAACCAAATACTATATGATTCCATTTAAATCATGTACCTGGCGTCATCAAACTCATAAGGAAAGTAGACGGTGGCTGCTGGGAGCTGGGGAGGGTAGAGTTTCCTGGGAGCAGGGTTTCACCATTGCAAGATGAAAGCCTGCATCTCTACATAAGATGGCTATGGCTTCCCAATGGGAACAACTTAATGCCACCAACTGTGCACCTAAAAGGGGTGAAGATGGTAAATTTTATATTTATCGCAATTTAATAAGCAAAACAACTCAAGGCCTGAGCCACACAGGTTTCTTTTAAACGAGTTTTATTTTCATTCTGAACAAGCACACCTACAGCCTTCACTGCACAACAGTATAAGAACAAGTGCAAAATACACTTTATTGCAGGTACAAAACGGCATGGTAGTATGACAACTTAGGTCTCAAGGGCCACCTCCCCATGACCTGTCATGCTCACCTGGCCCACCTGGGCCACCACAGTAGACAACCCCACAACCCTTAGGAAAAAGTGATCCAACCTAGAGGAAGGTGGGCAGGAGACACCTGAAGAAAGAAATCACTTCAAATACATGAACATTAGAGGTCACAGTAACCAGGCTTCCGGGCAGCAAGGGGAGGGCCGGTAGGAGGGACACGGAACAGACCCCTTTGAATCTGTCTCTAACAACCAGCCCCATGAGGGTTTCCCCACGGGCACACCCAAGTGTGGGGTTTTCTACTTGTGGCCTCGTGTCAGAGTATTTCGGAGTGCTTCTAAATGTGGAGTTAGGGATGCTCAACCCACAGTAGTCATGGGCTCTCGGTCTACACATGACTTCTCCGTGTAGACTTCCTCACCTGGAAACCTGGGTTATGTGGGGACTTGTCCCATGGAGCTGGAGGGAGAATCCAGGGACAGTTGAGCACAAGCAGGGGACACAAACCCAGCCCACAGTGGGGAGAAGCCAGCAGCAGCTGCTGCTACCCATACTACTAATGGAGGATAGAGTCACATTCTGCAGTCAGCAGTTGAGGTTGACCTGAGGTGTCCACAGGGGATGGACAAACCATAGCGGGCAGGGCCACCCCATCTGGACATGGAGCCATATCTCTCAGTACCAAGGGTTTCCACCTTCAAGGGAAGGCCCAACCCAGAGAAGTCAGGTAGCCACCAATAGTCACACAGCAAGACACGCAGGGAGGGGTCTGCAGGCCCCAGAGAAGCTAAATGGTCCTCTGCATGCCCACCAAGAAGACAGGAAGTCAGAAGCTTCCAAGGATGGCTCCTGGGCACACAGAAAGCAAGCCAAAGGCAAGGCCAGGGATTTAGCTCAGTGGCTCTGGTGCCTGCTTTGCCAGCGCAGGGACCCAAGTTCGATTCCAGGTACCAAAAAAAAGAAAAGAAATGTTTTTATTATGTAAGACAGTCTCTAATATCTGGGACATTTTCTTTAAATAATTCATCAGGGATAGAAGGTGACAGAGGTTTTGCTTAGTGTTTGCCAAATGTTTTCTGTCCAGGGTTAGAGAGTAAATATTTTAGGCTTTAAGAGCCAAGAGGCAAAACTGATCATCAAATTGGCACAAGGGAAAACAAACCCCCACAATTTTGTTGTCTTGTTTTTCAGAGGATAGAACCCAAGCTCTCATTCACACCAGGCAAGCAAGCTCTCTGCCACTGAGCTACAGCCCCAGTCTACAATTTAACTGATGCAAGTCAAAACACAGTAACCGAGCATGTCTTTTTGGAAAAACAGGTCTACCAACGAGAGGACTACAATTGTTTTTAGCAGGTATGGGATATCATTTTCCTTACCCAGATTCAAAGACAACGTTCTCTGTCATGAAATCAATGGCAAAAACAGGCAGAGATCGGGTCTAGCCCCCATTTATCAACGCTGATGATAAGGGGCAGACACTGGTAACTCAAGCTGGGCAACGGAGACTGGGGTGGCCGCACCCTGCTTTTAGATAAAGGCCTGAAAATGGTCCATGAGAAAGGTTTCCCTGTCTCCTGCAGCTCATCTTGGGTGAAAGGCACGAGGACCGGCTCACACTGGTGCTTTGGAGGAGTAATTGGAGGCCCACGCCCAGGTAATGACCGCCTCTCCTCACCCCAAACCATGTACTACCCTGCACAGAGCAACAAATCCATTCCCGGAGCTACGTTCTGGGGACACTATCTCTACAAGGCCCCAAATGGCAGAGGGGGGAGAGCAGGTTCAGCTCTGCCACTGGCACAGGGGCTGCCACTCAGATGTCAGTGCCACCCATAGGTAGAGGGAGGAAGCCCTGGCGGGCCTCGGCTCAGAGCCGGAAGCTGAGCGCGGCGGGCCCCAGGAAGGAGGCCCAGGAAACTGGCTAGCACCTTCTGGCCCCCAGGCCCCACCATCCTGTCTCCGAGAGGAAAATGGAAACAGGGGCAGTCAGAGAGATGGCACAAACATTTCCTACTGGCCAACTTGATTAGCAAGATAGTAGAAGAGCAGGCCACCGGAGGGGGAAATGGCTGCCAGGTCGCTACGGGGAAGACAACTCCGGGGTCCTTGCTCTTGAGGCGCTGGGCAGGTGCCGGCCGCCCACGCACTGCTCACACCTCCTGAAGAACTGACTTGGCGTGTGCAACTTCTAACTAGTGCAGTAGCACCCTTGCTAGCCTCACAGCTGGAGCCTCTCCAGGAGCATCCTGTGAGATCAGAGGGAGTCACCCAGCACCCAGGGATGTGCATTCCCCAAACCCAGAAGCAGTCTGTGCTCAGGGAACCACAGCCAGTGCCGTATCACACTAAGGAACCCACACTCACACCCGAACAGAAACGCGTGTGTACGATACAGTTAATGGGAGACACCTGGGGGCCCCGCCAAGTACTCAACAGTTGGGAGCCAGAGCTGATTCCTAAAGACGTCACAGGGATGATGTGACTCATGTCAAGACGCACGCCACCTGGGAACACAGAAGCATTGGAGCACAACCAGGACAAGCACACATACAGGTCACCCACTGAGTGGTTCTGATAAAAGGGCACAGGCAGCGGGAAAGCCCTGGCATCTGTCAGGCTCACTCTGTGACTGTGTCAGCATGAACTCTCAGGTGCCCTGGGCTGTATTTTTTATTTCCTTTTGGGAGGGCTGTGTTGGGGAACAAAGCACTCTACCAGGACCAAGCACTCTACCACTGAACTACACTGCCCACTGTGCGCCCAGCCTGTATTTCTCAGCAGAGGGGACACAGACGGAGAGGCAGAGATGCTCATGCTTAGCATGAGGACCTCTGGTCCCCTGTGCCTCCGGCTGCACCTCCTTAGGATTCCCCTCTCCTCTCACTCAGCTCTCTCCACTGTGCCAGCCCGGGACTTTCTCCCTCTGTTCCACTGACAACAGCAAAGGAGCCCTTTCCATTTGTTCTACCAACTCGTTAATGATTTTCAAGGCTTCCGTGACTCAGGCCAGCCCCGGGAGCAACAAAGGACTTGGAAACTTGTGACACACTGCAGGACTCCAGCCTGTTCCTGGCAAAGCCCTCCCCAGGTTAACAGCTCTGCTTAAGGGGCTGAAGCTGACTGGGTAAGAGGTCACTAGAGCAACAGCAACCCTTTGCTTAAGACCCCAAGCCAGGACTTCGAACTCCCCACCCCATCCTGCCCTTTCTCCCAGCAAATCCTATTGTTCCCCCTCAATGGCCTCTGTCTCCTTTATTAAAACTGCAACCTGGTAAACAGGGGAAGGTTTGTCCTGACCTTGCAAACTGGGTTAGCCTGATGGCCTAACAGCAAAGAATTCAGCTTTGGCTTCCATTCAGGATGGTGGCCTGGGCCAGGAGATGAGCAGGACTAAGATCCATGGGAGTATCTTTCTTTCTCTGGGGTTCACTTTTAAAATCTGCTGCCTCCAAGAAGTGAAGGTTAAAGACACGACCTTCACTGCCTAGAACATGTGGTGCGGGTGGCAGAGAGGGCCCCACCAAGAGCTTCCTTGCCCATCAGGTCCAGACCTCTGGACTCAGAGCTCCCAGGAAAGACTGGATGAGAATGCTAAATGCTGTGGCTTTTCTGTACTTCAACACATGAAAAATAAAACCTATAGCTCTAGCTCACTTGCCTCCCATGGAAAAGAAAGCTGTTGAGTTAGCAGGCAGCTGAGACATTCTGGCCCCAAATAACTATTTGTACTCTTGGTATTTCTCTTCCTTTGCAAGCTACAGGATTTAGCTATAACCACTGGAAGGCAAGGAAAGCTGACGCCAACACACATGTCAGAGAACGGAAGACGCTACAAACAGCAATCTTCAGGCAACAGACCTTTATTAGAACTTCTTTTGGAATTATGAAGTAAAAATATCAAGCTCTCACATTTCTTCTGTCCTTTGGCTTAGGTAGGGGCCTCACTTACAGACACCCCGAAGGGCTAAGTGTCAAAAAACCAAATGGAGTCCCCATTCTTCCACTAAAAGGAAGTGTAACGTCGAGTGAATTATTCTACTTCTCCACAACTCAGTTTCCTCAGGGTTCAAAAAAGGAAAGGAGTGGTCTTGGTCTTCCGCCAGGACTAGGAGGTGGTGCCGGGACAGGAAACAACAAAGATGGTGGACTATCAGAGTGATACGGATCCAGTACCACTGAGACAGGTAAGGAGAAAGAGCACAAGAATACACCAGCAAGGCAGCCGTGAAAAGAGTGGAACCAAACACAGACTGGGAGGGAGCGAGGGGAGCTTCCCAACTGCAGCGCTGGGCCCCACAAAGGAAGAGCCAGCAAGAATCGGGGCCCTTGAACAAGGGTGCCAAGGCAATCTCACAGGAAAAGAACAGTCTCCTCAAGAACCACTGGTACAACGCTGAAGAAGGAAGCTGGACCCCTGCCTCACAACAGATACAAGGATTAACTCAGAATAATCAAAGGCCATTGTGAGTTGAAATTACAAAAATTCTTAGGATGAAACATAGGCCTAAATATCCTGGCCTTGGATAAGGCAGTGGTTTCTCAGATACAGCACCAAAAAGCACGAGCAACAACAGCAACAACAAAAAGTGGTAACTTGGACATCATCCAAATTAAAATATTTTGTGCTTCGCCAGACACTGTTAAGAAAGTGAAGTTAACACACAGAATGGAGAAAGATGTTACAAAAGGCACATATCTGATAAAGGCCCTGCATCTAGCATACACCTACAACTCATTAGTAAAAGGACGACCAGACTTAAAAATGGGCAATGGATCTGAACAGACATTTTCCCAAAGAAGATACACAAATGTCTGCTAACCACACGAAAGCCATAAGGGAAATGCAAATCAACCTGAGACAGTGCTTCACACTGGCAGGATATTACGATAAAGACCACAGACAGCAGCAAGTGTTGGTGAGGAAGCAGGCTGCAGGTGTGAAGGTGAAATGCCACAGTGACCGTGGAAAAAAGCCTAGCAGTTCTTCAAAAAGTTAAACACCGAGTTAGTGTTACGAACAGGTAACTCCACTTGTGTTATATTTCCAAAAGAAAGGAAAGTATATGCCTGCTCAAAACCGGTTGTAAAAATATGTTCATAGCAGCATGACTCAATTGCCAAAAAGTAGAAACATCCCAAATATCCACCTACTGATGCAGTACATCCATACAGTGAAATAGAAATGAAGCATGGGTACACGTGCAACATGGATGATCCTAGGAAACATTTGATTCCAGATGCATAGAATGTCCAGAACAGGGAAATCTACATAAAAAGTAGATACGTGGTTTCTTAGGTCTGAAGGAGTTGGGGGACGTGACAGCCAAAGGACATAGGGTTTCTTTGGGGGGGGGGGTCAGGAAAATATTCTAAAATTGGTGTGATTCTCTAAATATACCAAAAACCACAGAACCAAACACATAAACAGGGGAACCATATGTTATGTGAATTATATGTCAGTAAAGCTGTTAAGCCAATCCTTCCTTCTCTGCTAAAAAAAAAAAGAAGTCAGGACCTGTCTTCACTCTGCTGGAACACCACTTCTCTTGACCCAGCATGATGTCTAATGGATCCCCTTTAACTCTTAAAAGGACCCTGGTATACCATATACGTGGCTTTGCCCCTCTGGATCTCAGTTTCCCCACATATACAACAAGGTCTACCAGTTCTGACAATCCGTGAGCCTCACTGTGTCCCACAAGAGCTCCACCTTAGTGGCTGTAAATCCTACTCTGGTGGTCACAGGGTTCACCAGGGGCTTGCAAAATGAACCCAAATTAGCAAAGAGCTAAAGCCCTGGGCCCAAACTAATCACTAGATCCCAAGTCCCAGAGGGAAGACAAAGACCAATTCTTGAGTCTGTCACAGTTACTGATGTTCCTATTTTGCCACAGTTAAGAAAGGTGACCCAAACTTTTCAATGCAAGAAACACTAAAGTTATCCTCTACAAATGAAAAAGGATTAAACATTCAAGAGCCCCCCTCATAGGAAATCCAGTGTCCTTAAGCAACTTCATAAATTTAGCAGTGGTTAACCAGAGACTTCTCTGTGAGTAATGGGAGTTTGGAAGTCCATGCTAGGGGGTCTGATACTGTGCTGGTCCAGGTCATCTGATGATAGCATGGAATGCTCATTTCCTACTCTCCCTTACCCATGATTGCCTAAGGGATAAAAATAGAGCAAAGTAGATCATGAGTAATCATCTGCTTCTCTTCTCTACTCACAAAAATATGCCTGAAATAAGTCTCTCTATTCCCTGCCACCTCCCAACCCCAAGACAGGCTTCAGAATTAGCAGCCACAGACCAGGTGGATGCACACACTGAAGGGTCTGTCATGCCTATGCACTCACACAGGTCTGTCTCTGGGCTTTGCAGCAAAAGATCCTTAGAAACATGGTGAACTAAGAGAAACTTTAAATTCACTGAAAAGAAAGTTTTGTGCTATTATCTGTTTGCTTCTTCTTTTCAGGAAAGAATCTTTTTGTCTGTCTTCTCTGAATTGAAGATAGTGATACACGGTGTGTTAAATATTGTTATTTTCTTAAAAAAAAAAAAAAAGAAAAGAAACTTGGTGAAGGTGAAAGGCAGAAGGCACAGAACAACATCACTCCCAACAATGGATCCAAGAGCAGGAGAGAGACCACCAGGGTCCCCAAGAAGGGAAGCAAACAGAGACAGGAGAAGGCGGCAAAATGACCCCAGGGAGCCAGCAATGCTAGCCATGAAGCCAGCTATGTAAGGAGGTGATGGTGCAAGTGAAGCAAAGCTTTCTCTGGAGGCAGGAACTTCTAACGGGAGGTCCTACTGTCTGTCTCTTCAGAATGTCAGGGCTGGGAGGGAAAAGAACAAGGAATGTTCCAAACTGGAGGCTGAGAGGAAGGGAGAGTGTCTGCATGCCAGACTTTGTGTCCATGGGTCTCTGCTGGTCGGTGGTCTGAGGCCTTCATAGAGTGGGCAGGGTCCCTCCTAGTTTCAGCTTGCCAGATAAGACAGTCGCTGGCAGTGTGTGATTTCTTCATCCAAGGGTTTCCTGGGCCTGGGAGCAGGTGCACGTCCTACTGCTGTTCAGAGTCCACATTTCAGGATGATGTGGTAGCCATCATTGCTCTCGGCTGCAACAGAGAAACAAAGGCTTATTTTACAGGAGCAGAGGCACAGTGCCGTGGTATTTGGGAGTCCCAGAGGGCAGGGCGTCAGGGTATCAGCAGAGGTGCCAAAATAAGGACCCACAAAAGGGGTGTGCTGAGGGAGCAGGGACATCAGCACCTACCTTAGCACCCGCCTTGCCAAGTTACTTTCTAACACTGGGCCTTCCCACCATACCAAGGGCAACAGCACCCACATCCAACAAGACTTTAGACAATCTGGGGTTCCCAGACCCATAAAGGCTCTCACTGCCCATGTTATAGTTCGGATATGAAATGTCCCCAAAGGCCCATGTAGAACTACTGGAAGGTAGCTATGTCACTGGGGGCATATCCTTGAAGGGAACTGTGGGATGGATTCTGGCCCCTCCTCTCCTCTCCCTATCTGTTTCCCCACTGCTGGGAAGTGAACAGCTTACCCTTCCATGTGCTCCCACCACCATATGCTGCCTTGTAACAGGCCAAAAGAAACAGGGCCAGTTGATCTTGGACTAGAACCTCCACAACTGTGAACCAAAATAAACCTTCCTTCTTTTTAAATTGATTATCTCAAGTATTTTGTTGCAGTAATGGAAAGCTAACAAATACAGGCTAGATTCACAAAACAAAGGGGGAAGTGGCCTCATCACAATTCAGGACCTATGACCCAGTCACAGGGCTTCTCTTCCAACACTGTCCATTTGATTACTCTACCTGTGCTAGGGAAGAATCACACTAGGTCGTTCTCAGCCTTTTATGAATAGACACACGCTGCTGCCACACAGCTCTCTCTCTCTGCAGAGAGTGGGTGTGCTGAGGTCCTCTCAGGGCACCTGGCTCAGGTGGAACCTTGTGTCCCCCCTCGAAGTTCCCAACCACTATGCCAGCCACTGTATTCCATGCTGGGCTTCCTGGAGATCCCCTAGGAAAACTCAAACAGATCTTGCTTTTCTACTCATCCCTGAGCTCATGGAGAACAACTTGCCTGGCCCAGGATCTCCCCTTCAGGTGTGACTTTGAGGCCAGTCTTCCCAGTTCTGCATTTCCAGGAAGCCTGTGTTTCCCTCCTCACAAGGTATTCCAGCTGGCTGCCCTCTGGAAGGGCCCGTGCAGGCTGCTCTATGCTCACCCCACAGCCCCACAGGATGTATGTAATATGCTTCCATTAATCACTGTGAGCCCAAGGGCCTTTACCTTTTAATGTGCTGAGAATAAAGCAAGATTCGTCTTGGAAATTCTGCACCATCTGAAAGGTAAAACAGAAAATGTGTTCCCTCGATGATGAGTTATTATAAAGGAAAAAACTTGGTGACTCAAAGCCCAGACACGCACAGCTTCAGGAATGGCCGTCTACAAAACTCAGGTCCATGGTGACACAACCACTACTGAGAAATGGAAGATACGGAACCACAGTAAGCCACCACAGGAATTTAATATCACATCTGCCCACAAAAGATGGAAAGCAGTATAAAGGGAGTCAAGATGCTCCCTAGCCAGGTGCGGTAATGCACGCCTGTAATCCCAGCACTCCGAAGGCTGAGGCAAGAGGATTGTGGATGAGTTGAAGGCCAGCGCAGGCTGCACAGTGACTTCAAGGCCAGCTTGAACTACACACTGAGACCCTGTCTCAAAAATAAATAAATAAATGTTCGCATTTCCTAGGATAGTCTGGGATTTCTTTATACTTTTTTCTGAGTCATTGGGTCTTCCAATCTCTACTATGGGAATACAATAAGAACATGGACATGTACAACAGCAACAGAGAAAAACAAAACATAATCCTGCACTGCATAACCACTTTTTGGCCAATGATAGCCACATATACGATGGCAGTGCCAGAAGATCACAAGAGCAGAGTCTATCCCCTAGCGACAGCACAGCCACGGTAACAAGAGCTGCAAAATGCACCATTTGTGCTTGTGTGGATGGTGCAATTTACCTACTGTGCTGGCAATTAGTGTGCAGAATATATAATGCTTGATAACGAATACCTATCTTGCCAGTTTATGGACTTACTATACTATACCTTTTGATATTTTAGAGCATATTCCTTCTGCTTATAGAAAGTTTGTCATGTTTCACTGGCAGCAGCCTCAAACATGCTGCCTGCACCTGTCGGCTGCACTGAGAAGACACGTACAATGACTGACCTAGGGCGTTTAGGTTTGTGTCAGTGTGGTCTAGGATATTCGCATGACAACGAATTCATCTAACGAAGCATTTCTAAGATGGTGGCCAGTTGCGGAAGGGATGCATGACTTTAAAAAAAAATTTAAAGCCTTAACAATGAGTAGGATCAACATATCAGTATCCCGTGAGGAATAGATACAGAGGAAGCCACTTCTCCCTGGGCCTGAGAGGTGGCAGGAAACTAGCCATGACTTACAGCGCTTCCCCAAAGTCCTAATTGGGACAAACTCCCCAGGGACCTTTGCTAACTCTCTCATCTTGGCCTCATGGCCCTTACCTCTAAAATGGGGCTGTTTCAGTGACTAAAAATATAACCAGGGCAAGATGTGACACGCACACTCACAATCCCAGCTACTCGGGAGGCTGAGGCAGAAGGACCACAAGCTCAAGGTCCTCCTAGGCAACTTGATGAGGTCCTGTCCCAAAGCACAAAAAGGCTGAAGAACAGAGCCCAGTGGTAGAGCATTCCTGGGTTCAGTCCCTAGTACCATCAACAAAACAAGACAAACAACACAAAAGCCCAGAATGGAGAGCAATGGAAACTAGTATGCACAGCTGGTGGAGGTGGAAATCTAGAAAACTTCATGTGACCTAGTGGGGTGTACATTTGTCCCACAAGGCATGCGTCTTACAGCAAGATGTCCAACCTCTGGCCCATGGGCAGCAGGAGGCCCTGGAAAACTAGTATCAGAGCCCCCCAAATTTTAACATTATCAGGTGACTTTTACTGAGACTTTTAACGACTACACTGCTCAGTGCTCAACCCAGGCTGCACAAGCGATGACAGGACATCATGTAGGGGAGGCTACAGCGCAGCACTGACTTCGCCTCCCACAGGTGAGTCAGACACATGCGCCCATGGGCATCAGCCACTACATCAGCATGTGTGGTTTTGTGGGTAAAACTCAGCTATTACCAGCAACAGCACTTTAACCCACCTGCATATGCGGTGCTTGTGAAGACAGGTGTTTATTGCCATTAATTATTCTTATTTAAGTCTCCTTATTTAATTACTAAATTTAGGCCTCGCTGTGTTATGTCCCAACATAGTAAGTTAAAGCAGCATGGTTACGTATATCCATTAACTACTTTGTGTATTTTACACAAGACCTGAGACTATTCCTCATCATCAGTGTGGCCCAGGCAAGCCAAAAAGCTGGACGGACAGCATGCCCGAGATAAACTCCCGCACACCGAGACATGCATGAGAATGCTCAGAGCAGCAATGTCTGCAGTAACACAAAACTCAAAGCAACGTCCACATCAGTCAACCGCAGAAGCTAACCAACTGTGATATGAACATACGTACTGCTCAGGAAAACCCAGACGTCCAGCTGTCCACCCAGCACGCCAGAATCTCAGAAATACAAGGCAGAAACTGGCCGCAGAGGTTCACACTTATAATCTCAGCACTCTGGGAAGCTGAGGCAGGAGGATCCAAGATCAAGTCCTGCCTGGGCAATGTAACCACTTAGTGAAACCATGACTCAAAATAAAAAAAAGAGCTGGGGATGTATGCTATATTTCATGGCAGATACTTCAAGAATATTAAAAATATACCAGTGTTCACACACATAAATGTGCATGCAGAACTACACAATACACAACACGACAGCAAAGCTCCTTGGCAAATGCAAAAAACAGCAACCCCTGTGTTGGGAACGTAGCTCAGTGGGAGAGCATTTGTGTGGCATGCACAAGGCCCTGGGTTCGATTCCCAGCACCACAAAACACAAAACAAAAATGAACTCACATTCTATTGCTTGCTCTGGATTTTTGCCTCAAATCTTAGAAATCCATCCACTGTCGACCCCTGCCCCTCTCTGCTGGGCCTAATGATGTGTGAAACACATTTTTCTATCCCACTGCCTGCTCCATCCAAGGCTGTTGGGAACCCCACCACTTGGGCACAGAAAGCCTAAAGCCTCCGCAAGCTTAATCAGTAACTCGCGTGTTTAATTAAGCACCTTGCACCCCAGCAGCCGGCTACTCAGCTGGCCAGGCTGCCTCAGGCGCTCTAGGCAATTAGGAACCAAAGGTTTCCAACTGATTCAGGGTTAAGAGGCAAGGAGACTTTGGGGCATAAGAATCGCCTACTTAGCCAGGGTGGCATTTGAGCTGTGTTCTCTGCTTCACTTGCTTAACTGCCTGCTCTTTAGGGCACAGGGAGAGCAGGGCAGGAACCTCCTCCGGGACCCACGAAATTGCAAGGCTTCCCCACATTCTTGCCTTTTGTCTTCACAAAAAGAAATTCACTACAACTTCCCATGCTCAGGGCATGGCTGTCTTCTGGCCACTCTCTCAGGTAAGCGCTCGTGTCAGGAGCTGCGCGCTTCATTTTCCTTAGGTGTAAAACTGGAGCAGAGAGATAGCTGCGCTGGGTGTGAATGTAACCACATGGCAGGACTTCTGACTTGGCTACAGAAACTGCAAGTTGCCGATGAGTGAGCAGCTGAATCTTCACTGTGTATTTTAAATTCCACACCTGTCTACCCACACGCACTAGGACAGGCACACAGACGCACCCAAAACATCTGGCAGAATCACATTAAACCCTGATGCCAGCCCTTCTGGGGCCAAAAAAGGTCTTTCACAGCTGCCATCTGCTCTTCTCTACTGCTTGACTTATACTCATTATGAACTAAAGAAAGAAAACAATCTTGCCTAAAAACAAGTGCCTAGGGCCGGGGATACAGCTCAGTGGTGCCGCCAACGGCCTTGAAGGCTCAAGGACCCGAGTTAGATCCCTGGTACAAAACAAAAACAAAAACAAGTGCCTAGCATGGGCACAGTCAGTTACAAGGGGCGCATTACTTAGCATCTCCTGGTTCCTGCCGCTGTGTTCTATTTTACCCTTATGTAACAGCCAGTCTCACAGGTGAACTCACCCCCATCTTCAGATGTAGAATCTGGGGCCCAGAGAGGCCGTGTAAATTTTCCCCAGGCTCCTCAGCGGGCAGGAGGCAGTTCTGGGTGGAGAAACTGACTCCGAAGCCCACATTTTCGCTCCTTTTTCTAGCCACTATTCCAGTCCCCAATTTCTTCTCTAATCTCCACACAGGGGATTTCAGTTTCTGGAAGTGGCTTAGGGGCTCCTGGGGGCCAGGCTAGGGTTTGGGGTCCTACCTTGGCTCCCACCAACACAGCCCTCCTCTCGAGAGAAGTGGGGTGTCTGCCGGCTCAGAGCGCAGCTTGGCAGCTGGATCACCTGGGTCCCCACCACAGCCCCACCCCTGGCTATGGGACAGAAATCGGACTGACAGCACCCAGCATGGGCTTCCACTTGTCACTATTATTAGGAAGGAAGGCCTGGGACAGAACAAGCTTAAAAGCCTCTTTTTTACACAGTGCATAGAAGGCATCCCTGGACAGCAGCCTATCAACAGTCCATTCCTCGGAAAGTGGGCACAGTTCCGAGGGGGTCTTGTTCAATACCTGGGCCTGTGACATCAGCTGCTTCTGTCTACACAGGGCCTGTGTCTCTGGGCACAGACCTGGGAGCTTCAGCACCTTCACCCTTGAGTAGAGACCCTTGCCATCAGCTCCTGTGAGCCCAAGACGCTCCCATCCGTCCCCCAAGCCCTTTCACCTCTCCCGAGACTCACCCTAAGGCCACAGCCCACTCCGGGAGAGTACTGCTGTCATTCCACAGCCCCAGCTCAGAGCTTTGGAGCAGGAGTGGGATTTGTGCCCACTGGCCTGCAGGGCACCCAGCCCCACACGTGGCTCAGAGCTCTCCAGCCTGCACCCCAGGGAGCCCCTGTACCCCAGCAGGTGGCACAGTGTTGCTGGCTAAGGGTCCCCAGCGCCGGGGGCTGGGCTGGCTTCAGCCTCACCTCATTGCTCACCAGCACGTGGATGCCCGTGGGGCCCTGCCGGTAGACGCGGTGGATGTGCTGGGGGGGGATGCTGTACAGGTTGGCGATCTTCTCAATCAGCTCCAAGGTGGTCAGCTCTTCCAAGAAGATGGCGTGGTACACTGGGAGGAGAGGAGAGCACCTTCTCTTTATGTGGCCACTAAGTTAGCAGGCTCCTGTCTATGCCCCTCCACCCCACCCTAAGGAAGCAATCGCTGCTTGGTAAGGAAGCCCCTGGCAAGGCGATGGGCACCTGCCCAGAAGCCTTCAGCTTGAGGCACAGTGCACCCCGCCCGAAGGTGGATGGAGGCCAGGCCGTGGCTCTCTGCTCCCCTTTCCCTGAAACACAGAGATTCCTGGACCCACTCCAGACCCAAGGACAGCTGGGGTCGGAGGCAAGTGATTCCGCTGTGCAGCCAGGTACACATGTTGCTTGGGAAGGAAGGAAGAGTCCCAGGCCACCTTTCCATCCTTCCCAGTCTAAACGGTGACTGATGGCTTCAGGTGGCAGACTGACGTGTAAAGACAGCTGTTACCTGACAGCAGAAAGGCCTGGGCCTGGGCCTTTCCTTCCCACCATGCAAGCAAGACACACCCACGGTGCAGGCGAGGCCCCAGAGGGGCGCAGTCTGCTCGGGGATGCTGACAATGGGAGCGCTTCCTTAGACAAAGCCAGGGCTGCTGTTACCTGACAGCAGAAAGGCCTGGGCCTGGGCCTTTCCTTCCCACCATGCAAGCAAGACACACACAGCCTGAGCACGGTGAGTCCCACGGTGCAGGCGAGGCCCCAGAGGGGCGCAGTCTGCTCAGGGATGCTGACAATGGGAGCGCTTCCTTAGACAAAGCCAGGGCTGTAGGGCAGGAACAAACTCCAGGGACAACAACCTGGCCAATTAATGAATTCTGAGGGGACTCGAGGTCCTCAAAAGCAAATACAACTGGATTAAATTCCAGGTTCCCGAACTTCTCTCTCCACTAAGGAACACTTTGTTCAAAACCCTGCTTGGGGGCCGGACACTGTCAAAGTGCACACGGCGGTTCCTATATAAGGGTGGCGAGGCTTCAGGGCTGCAGCCACACTGAGCTGCACTCTCCCGAGTCACTGTCAGACCGTGGCTGGAGAACATGGTCACCGTGTCAAGTCTCTGCCTGTGCTCAGACTGGGAAGAACCCAGGCCTCACTTCTAAGGCCCCTCTGGTGCAGAATTCTAATGGTGCTTCTTTTTTATCTTCTTCAACCTTGTGGAGCCAGTTCCATTATTCTCTGATTTTATACCTGAAACAAATCAGTCCCCAGGCCATAAAGAACTAGAAAGACCCCCGGCTGATGCAGCTCATCATAACCTTTGCTACCAGGAGTGCTCAGAGTGAGGGCAGTGAGCAGACACCTTAGATTTTACATCTCCTCTCCTTGGGAGCCAGGTGGAGAGCAGTCTGGGGAAACAAGAGGCTCTACCATGGGCAGTCATGGGTTCAAATCCCGACTCTGCCACTCACAGGAGGTAGGAGGACCTGGAGATAGCCGACACCTCCCAAAGCCTCGGACTGCGCATGGGGGCAACAGTGTCCTGCATGGCTGCCCAAAGTGAGGCCAGACACACACTACATACTGCCCAAGAACACACATGGCTGCCCTTTAAATGCGTGGGAAATTGAGGAGACAGCCAGTCCTTCAGAGGCCAATACTGAAAAGCAGGGGCTGAGGCCTAGATGCTCCTCAGAGATGCAGAGTCTGGGCCAGGCCGTGGAGGCCAAGGCTGAAGGGTCTGGATGTTTGGGTCTGGGCTGTTCTCTGCTCTCTATGACTCACCACACAGGCTGCTGTCACTGCTGCCATCCCGCTTCTGCTGCAGGGACACTCGGTTCTGCTCCAGCTCCTGACAGACATAGATGGTCATCTTTGGCCTCACATTCCTAACAGAAGGAAAGGAAACAAACTTTCCATGTGGCCGACCAAGCTTTAGGGTGCTAGAATGTTCCAGAACACAGGGTGCAGCCTATAGTAGGAAAGATTCGGGGAAGCAAGATGGGGATGGGACGCACGGTGCCTTTCCTGGAAGGGTTGGAAGGGGCAGAATCGAGTCCACTGGGCCTTTAAGAGCTGTCCTCAGAACTGCCTGGGGGAAGAAAAATGGGTGACCCTCCCCAGGCCCTGCCACAGCCAAGGTGTCAAGAGTGGGCAGGTGCTGTAGCTCAGTGGCAAAGCAAATAAAAAGAACTTTATGCCCAGGACTCATGCTATCCTCACACAGCCTTTGAAGGAGCTTGGATCATTATAATTCACAGATGAGGAAACTGAGGTTCGGGAGAGTAAAGGGCTTCCCTCACCACAGAGCTCATAAGAGGAAGATACGGGATCCAAGCCCAAGTGCACGTGTAGGCTCTCTCTCCCTCTCTCTCTCCCTCCACCCCCGCTTCTTTAAAACTGTGCTGTGTGGCTATGAAGATTTAGGCGTAGAAGCCAGGCGTGGTGGCACACACCTGTAATCCCAGAACTCAGGAGGCTGAGGCACGAGGATCGCTCTGAGTTCGAGGGTAGTCTAAACTACATAATGACACCCTTCTCAAAAAAAACAAAACAAAACAAAAAAAATTAGGTGTAGGGCTAGAGGTATAGCACCATGGTAGAGTGCATGCTTAGCACACATGAGATCTTGGGTATGATCCCCAGAACCAGAAAATAAAAAGTGAAGTTCTCCGGAGTTAAATAAAATTTTAATAATGAGATAATTGACAATGTGAAATAAGAAGAAAGGGGCTAAAGGTGTGGGAAAGTGGGAAGGGTAGGGGAAAGGGAATAAGGGAAAAGAAAAAAATATGAGAAAATGAAAAAATGGAAATAAAGTGTTTGTGAATGGGGAGGGGAGGAGGGGTGAAGGGAGGGCAGGGACAAGGGGAAAAAATGAGAACCAAGACCTGACAGGTAAAGGTGCAAGATCCCAGTGATGACTGTAACTGTACTGTATACCTAGAATGTACCAATAAACTCAATGAGGAAAAAAAATAAATAAAATTTTAAACTAAGTTTGACGGTCACATGAGCACATTAGCTTCCAAGGCCACAGTGGCCAACGGCTCCTGGACTGGTCGGCTGCCCAGCCCCCACCAGCCAGCCTACCCACAGTCCGAGAAGATCAGCGAGGGGCCCGCCAGGCTCCCCGAGAAACCAACACCCACCTGCCTTTGATGGCGTTGAAGAGCCGGATGCCATCTGCAGGGCCACAGATCTGCACCAGATCATCTCTGGACATCTTCAGCAAGTCAGAACCTAGACAGGGAAATGAGTCACCCGCCGAGCGGGGCACAGGAAAGGGCTCCATTCCTGAGCACCTGCAGACACTTCAGCCTCCCCTCAGGGAGTATCAGACACTCACAAGAGGAATGACAAACAGCTAAACCGCCTCGAAGTTCGCAGCTCACAAGGTGTCAGAAGCCAAAAGCTGGTGCTCGCAAAAACGTATGGCTGCTCAGCAGGCCCTGCCCTCTCCCCCGCTCCGGAATTTCACTCACATTCACCTGCGGGCATCACCGGCAGTGACTACATGTGCACGTCTGTGTAGAAGTGCACCACTTGCAGGCGGTTGACAATCTGGAATCCCCTGGGGACCAGCACAGACTAAGGGGCAGAACCTGAACCTGCCACAGGCCCTCGTCCTCATCCCCAGCCCCCCCCACGCAGATCCAGGCCCATTATTATATGTGCTTCACTGTGTGAATACACCAGTTTTCCCTCTGTTGATGGGCTCTGGGGCGCTGTGAAGAGGCTCTGTGAATCCTTCTCCTACACGTCACTGGTCAGCACAGATGGTGCATCTGCTGAGTCACAGCATAGCTCCGGCTCTGGCTCTGGCAGGAGTTGCCCCGAGGGTGTCCTGAAGCACTCTCCCCACGCAGCCCTACCACCTTGTACTCTTTAAGCACTAGCATGCTCGAAGTTGCAACCTGAGATGCTGTCAGGTCGGTTCTGCGGGACACAGGCTCCCTCTGCACTGGCAGTGAACACTGAGGTCCTTCCACTGCTCTCCTGGGGCTCCCCCTGCCTGGGTCCCTTGGGTCTCTCTGACCTCATCGCCTCCCCAGGCTCAACCTCTGGGACTCTGCCCCAGTCACCTGAGTTCTCTGCTCTGTGACCACAGCAAGAAGACATCCATCTCGTGGCCTTTGCTCTTTTTCTCTCTGCTTGCAAAGCTCTTTACCCAAAGCCCACTCAATTGGTTCCCCTCCTCCTGCTCTCTAGCCTTTGCTCAAGGAGACCTAGGCAAGCCCTCCCCCACCCAGCCCAGCCCAGAACAGTGACCAGTCCACCCTGTCACAGGCATTCCACACTGCACTGCACAGGGCGGTTCACAAGTCTGCACTAATCAAAGCTGCAAGCCCCAGAGGGCAGGGTCCGGCCTGTCCCCCACTGCGCCCACCCCTCACACCAAAGGCTCTCAGGGACGCAGCCCTGGAAATGAGCAGACGCTATTTCTCTTCCACTGCCGCAGATGGCTGAGGAAACTGCTCCAGCTGTAGGCCAGACCTCTCCTCCTAGTCACCCTGGACTGAACATGCTTGACAGCAAGGCTCAGGCCAACTTTGTACCTCTGGCTCCAGACTTCTCTTTGAGGACACTCAATTGGGCTTTCCCTCTTTTGGTACTGGGAAGGAACCCAGGGCTGGGCAGGTGCACCACCACTGAGCTCCACTGCTGACCTTTATTATTTTATTTTGAGTTGAAGACTTGCTGAGTTGCCCAGGCTGGCCTCAAACTTGCAATCCTCCTGCCTCACCCTCCTGAACTGCTGGGATCACCGGTGTACTCCACCACACCCAGGCTCCAAAATCTTTATAAAGAAGAAAGTAGCAGCTTTTCCATCTCACCTATGGCTTTACCTCCAAACCCCAGGTTGTAGCTTTGAAGACAAGACAAGTAGTACTTTTTGGCAGGAAAAATACGGCAAAGACATGCAGAGTGTCCACTGCCCTGTTTAGCCAAGGGAGCCCTTCCAGGGCAGGCCAGAGCCTACGCACTTCTACAGGTGGGGGGAGCTGGATAAAGTCAGCCAAAAGTCCCCCAAAGTCACACTGGAGCGCGGACATCAAGGAGCAGCTTTTTGTACCTGCAGAATCTCCTATCTCTGGCCTTGGCCCAGGGCCCACACACATGAGAGGAAACCCAGACTACTGGGGACACAGCTACAGCCCCGCAGGGCAGAGGGCAGGTCCTGGACAGTGCTTCCCAGGTGCCTGTGGGTCCTAAACAAACTTCCAAGCCGCTCACCTGAGAAGCTCGCAAAGAGGCGGCAGAACTGGGAGAATCTGTTGCGGTGAAGCCACTGCTGGGCATCCTGGATGGAGGCGGATGGCAGCAGGTGCTGAGGGAGAGAGAGGAGGCCTTAGGGTGCTGCTCAGAGCCCACCAGGGCCACCACCCCAGAGCCTGGCGCAACTTACATCACTGCCCATGGGCAGAGCCTCCACCTGGTGGGCCGGCGAGCTGTTGCTGTGATGGAAAAGGGACAGGAAATGAGGAAGGGCACAGTTCCCAGAGGCCCATTACCTAGCCAGGTGCTACTGTGCCATCAAATATGAGACTGGTTTACATGAAATGAGTCCTCCAGAAGGTCTAGAGTCAGACAAATGAAAGAAGTCGGAGTCCACTCCCTCCGAATCCCTGAAGAACCCCTGAGTGCAGGCAGGAAGTTCTGCAGGGCCACACTGCCCTGGGCCTTGCTGACACCCTGTCCCAAGGAGGCAGAGAACCCTCTGAGGCCCCTTGCGGCTGATGAGAATCCCCACCCCCGGCCCTGGCCCAAGGGGAAGACAGGCTGACCATGGGGACCGGGCTACACTGCTCCAAGTAATCAGCACCTGGAAAGCTGTGGCCAAACCCTTTCCATATTGCTGGAGTTTGCAGCGGACAAGCATCCACAGGTTGGCATCTATCCGTAAGGAGAATGCTGCCTAGGTGTCCCCAGCAGGGCCAACTCAGGAAGGTTCAGATTGGAACACCTGCACTTGTAGGCAAGAGAAAGATAGCCCCGAATGGACCTCTCAAACAGTTATCTGTGACAGCTGAACAACGGCAGCGGTGTACTTAATGCTGCTCATCCGTACGCTAAAGACTATGTTACATAGACTTCACCATAATTTAAAAAAAAACTCTCACAAAAATGACTCTCAAGCCAGTTGCTACTACTAGCAGCTAGCCTTCACGAAATGTCTACAGAGTGCCAGACATCACATGCGCGACACTCTTGGCCCACATGGAATTCTACTCCCTTTTGTAGTGGGGAAACCAAGGCTCAGGGAGGTTAAGGAAGTTGCCCTGAATAAGGTGCATGTGTAAAACTAGGCCTGCCTGACCTAAATATAATCCTTTTCTATTTTTGTTTTTGGTACTGGGGATTGAACTCAGGATCTTACCCTTGAGAGGCAGGCGTGGTGCCACTGAGCTAAATCCCTGGCCCAATATAACCCTTTTCTTTGTCTCTCAAGAGGATGATTCACCTTGGCAAAATCAAGTTCATGGACAACCTTGCTGTTTCTCTAGAGAGTTCATTAGAAAGTTCTGGGAACATCTAGAAAGAACTGGAGACACCTAGAAAGTTCCGAGAAGTCTGCCAGGTAGGCTTCAAGACAGTGATGCACAGAAACCATCTGGCTTTTGCGCTCACCTATTAAATCACCTGGCTTGGCATGCCTCTGCCTCCATTCCTGCACCTAGAGCAGGCCTGGGACCCATTGAGGTAAGGCTGTGGGCCCTGGGCCACACAGCCTGTGACAGTCACAATCTTCCGGTGACTCAGCAATGTCCTGTCACAGCAACCTTGAGACCAAGCACCTGGCCATCTGCAAAGCGAGGCAGGTGGCAGTGAGGTCAGCTTCAGGGTTATAAACTCTGAAACCCAGGGCAGGAAGGACCCTCCGTGGAGATGTTCCTCACAGTGAGTATGCATGGGAGCTGATAAGGAGCTAGAAAGGGGTTCCCAGCCACCCGGGCCACCTAGCCTTCTCTAGGGACAGCCCACGAGGCTGTCCTAAGGCGCTTCAGGCCCTCGTTTCACAAGGAAAGCTGTGGGCTGCTACCCCACCAGATGATGTTTATAGCCATGTAGATAGAAGCACAGAAAAAACCATGCAAAAGCTAAACACAGCTGTGGCTGTGACACCAGTGAGCCACGCTGAGACCTAAACAGATGCCAGACAATGGAAAGAAGGGGAAACCAAGAAAGGAACCCACCCACTCTTCAATCCAGGGACCTAAAGGGAGAAAGGTGAGACCTACCCTTCGCCAAGGCCGAAGCTGTTGGGAGAGCCATTGTAGCTCGGGGACGGGGCACTGTTCACCTGGTAAGGCACATCAGGCCACGGAGAGCACTGCGGGAGGAGAGACAAGGCAGTGTGACTCACGAGCAGAAATCTAAAGGAAAAGAGACGACAAGGGACCAGCCCGTCAACTTGGCCCTTCCAAGCACACAGCTGTCAACACCAGCGCACGACACCAGCCTGTCCTCACGTAGCCTGCATTCACTGTAGTCTACAGTGAGCCACAGCTGGGCAGCTTCCCAGGGTCACACGGCAGAAGCCAAACAGGAGAGAAGCTGTGTGACGTTCAGGAAGTCATCCCTGAACAAGCAACCTGGGAAGGGCATCTGCTTGAGATTCTTAGTAGTCAAACCCAAGAAGGAAACATCAGTCATGTGATGGTGAGCCCAAAAGAAAAGAGGATGATCAAAACAGGCCTGCTGCTCAGAAACTTCTTCTTGGTACAGACCAGTGTGGGTGCGTGCGTGCCAGAGCAACCACGGGCAACTCCTAAGGAAAACATAAATATAACATTCAGTATCAAAATCTCTCCTCTTCGAAAAGAAAAACATGTGGACAGGGCTGTGGCAAGGCCGAGCGGCACCTGTGCTCTGGCAGCACAGCTCTGGGTGTCCGTTCCATTCCAGCCTCCTTCCTGCTGGGGGTTCCCGGAGACAGACTCACATGGGCTACGATCTGTGTCCTCAGGAGATTCCAGTGTGGAAGCCCAGTACGGAGCCGCCTGGGTTCCAGAAGCAAAGACCCGCAGCCTTGCTGGGGGAAGTGAGCGGACGAACTACACATTTCTGCCTTTGCTGGCAATCCGGAGCATTCCTGAAGATTTACTATCACTCACCCAACCCCGGCCTCGGTAAATGTTTAACTGCTGTGAGCATGGGCTGGAATTGGTTGGTACTAATCCACCAGCCAGAGAAGGAGAGCTGATGAGCTGATAGAAGAGGGAGTCGGCAACCTCCCAAGGTTGAGGTTGAGGCCCAGAGGGCTTCCAGCACCTACATCACGCTGTGACAGCGGGGATGGATGGGCACGAAGCCTGCCAGCACCTGTCTCTGCCGGAAGCCAAGAGAACAGCAAAGAGCCAAGGCTCAACCAGGAAGAGAAAGTATCACTAGGGAAGGGACGTTTCTGGCAGCCTCGCCAGCACAGGCAAAGACGAGGTGTGGGAAAGAAGGGGTCTGAGTTCTAATCCATAAAAATGCAGCCCCTGAAGTGGGCAGGGCTCTTCCTGGACCACAGCTTTCCGGCTACTTTTGGCCTCCACTAGATAAGACACCACGTGCTGGGCCACATTAGATTCTACACCACCTGACAGCAGCTTCTCTTCAGCTGTGGCCAGCGGCACACACACACACACACACACACACGCGCGCGCGCGTGCGGCAGGCACATTCAGGGCTGGCGCTGCCCACCCTGCCCTCGGTGCTTCTGTGCCCAAGCCTCGCCATAACACAGCCAGCTGGCCAGCGGGTCAAGCCTCGTACACGCCTTCCGCAGAAGCCCAGCTACGCCGTGAGGAAATGCCAGCCCTGGTTAGTTGGCCCGACTGCAGGACACAGCAAGGAACAGTTGTTCTGGGAAAGAAACACAGCCCAGTAAGTGGGGATGTGCTGACTACAGCTCGTGACACCTTCAAGTCAGCCCCAGACATGAGGACGGCTGCAGCAGGCTGCCTTTGGTGTTAGGGTTAAGAAGAAATGCTTTTCAGCATCTACCCAAACAACAAAATAGCCGGGCTGGGGCTGGAACTGTGGCTCAGTGGCATAGTGCTTGCCTGGCACGCACACAGCCCTGAGTTCTGTCCTCCAAATTAAAAAGAAAAAGTAAAAAGGAAAGAAGGACCAGGTGGCTTATGCTTGCAACCCCAGTACTTGGGAGGCTGAGGAAGAAAGATCACCACAAACTTGGAGGTCAGTTGGGGCTATACAATGAGTTCAAGGCCAGCCTGAACTACATAGTGAGACCTTGTTTCAACCCCCACGAAAGTCAGCAGATACACAGCCCAACCCACTCTGGGAAGGGAGCCCTGTAGACAGACTCGCTCCTTGCAGACCTGCACAAGCCCGATAATTCCCTGCACCACTGTCTGCAATGACAGAGCCCAGAACGATAACACATCCACTGATCGGCCATTACTCGGAAAGAGGAAAAAGGTGGACAAGGAGCCAGAAAGCTCTTTATGAAGAGGCAGGGAACAGGGTCCAAATAAGCAATTAAATGGAAGCCACGCATGGTGCAGAAGAGTGTGTCCATGTACATGGCTGGCGTGGGGCAGAGCTGCACACGCCATCACTGCAGGTAAGCGGAAGGCCAGGCCGATGGGCTCCCAGGGGGGACCAGCAGAGAGGCTGGGGTGGTGGTGGCTGGGATATTTTGCGTTGTACACTATGCTGAATTTTGCGCTGTGTGAACTAACCTATTCAAAGTAATAAAAAAAAAAACACCCTAATTTTGGAAGCCAAATGCATTCAAAGGCAGCAGAGAGCGAGACACAACCTCTGAAACACCTTCCCAGCCATGATGAAGGCCGACCCAGCCCAGAGAACGGGCACAGCTGAGTGGGTGCTCTCCAGCGAGGCACTCGACGCTAAGAGACAGCCTTGACCTTGCAGGGGCCCTGGAGGTCCTGTCCCCAGCCCAAGGTTCACCTCTGTGAGGATAGTGGTTTCATACGACGGCTGGTACTTCTCCTTCTCTTGAGCGGTTCTTTTCTCCATCTTTTCCCGGTCTGTCTTCTGTTTCCGGTCAGCTCCCTTTGGCTGCAAGTACAAGCACAGGGTCCAATCTGTCTAAGAGGAGCCAAAGTGGCGGCTGGCAGGAAACCCCAGGCCTGTCTACTTCACCTCGGGACCCCAAAGCACAGCAGCATCTCCTGGACAGGACAGTTGCTCTCTCACCTGACCAGGTTCAAACTTGCAGCCCTTCGTGGAGCCTGCTACTGGGCCTGCCACTCAGCCACTCATGGGAAAGTGCCTGGAAAAGATTGCTACTAATGGCCATTGCTTCCAGAAGGGAGCCGACCCTGGAGGCACAGGACAAATCACAGCGTGCTCCTGGAGCCACCCATGAGGAGCCAAGGAAGTGGATGAAGTGGCCACTGGTCGGGTCTGTTTTATTATGGCGGGCTGGGAAATGCTGGCCATCTGTGGGGAAACCTCCTCACACCAACTCTGAGGACTCCTGCAGTGCTCCCAGCTTAATCTCACGCACAGGGTAGCAGGGTGACATCCCTACCTTTGCATGACTACACGAGAGCAGGACAGGCTGCCGATACTGGGCGCCCAGCAAACCGAGTCACATAAAAAGGGGTCAGGGCCTCACAATCAGAGTGATGCCCGTCCCGACAGAAGCAGGGGCACGAGGCAGGGGCCATGAATGACAGATCCACCAAACATGAACCATAGGCCGGGCTGGGACCTCTGGCCACAGGATGTTCACAGTGGATCAAAACTGCTAGTTCCCAAAGTGAGCAGAGGGCCCAGAGGCTGCGGTGGCCCCAAAGATGTCCGCACACTCTGATCCCCAGAATGTGTGAAGGTGTTATCTTATGTGGCAAAGGGAGAATTCCATCTGCAGGTGGAATTAAGATGCTAATCAATTGACATTCAAACAGGAAGACAGTCCTGACCACCTGAGTGGAAAGACCAGGGGAAGGAACAGAGAGGTCAGGTGGCTCCCAGTGAGAAGGACAAGGGTCCCTCTTGCTGGCTTCAAAGGGAGGGGCTCGAGGCTATGGTGTAGATAGGGACCTCTGGACACCAGAAAGGGAAAGGAAGTGGATTTTCCCCAAGGTCTCCAGCAAGGAATGCTGGCCCAGTGACCCCGTCAGCCAAGCCAGACCCACCTCAGGCTCCTGATCGAGGTGACGATATCTCGGGACATAGTTTGGGGTTTTTGTTTTGTTTTATTTTGACTTGCAGTGCTGGGGGTGGAAGCCAGGGCTTTGGACAGGCTAGGCAAGCCCTCTACCCTGAGCTCCGCCCCTGTTCCTTTTTTATTTTTAATGTCATTGTTATCTAGCTAGCTAGCTAGCTATCAATCATGGTACTAAGGATTGAACCTGGAGCTGTAACACTATGCTATATCTGCAGCCTTTTTATTAATTGTTCTTTTTTTTGAGACAGGGCTAAGTTGCCAAGGAGCCAGGCAGCCAAGGCCAGGCTCAAACTTGTGATGTTTCTGCCTCAGCCTCCTGAGAGATGGGATTACAGGGATGCACCACTGCACCCAGCCCTTGTTTTAGGGTTTCTCTGTGTGTTTTGAGACAAGATCTCACTGTGTTGCTCAGAATGGTCTTGAACTCCTGGCTTAAGTAATTAAGGTGCATCATTTTAAGCCACTGACTCTGGCACAACAATAGAAAACAAGTGCAGCAGTGCCAGTTTGCCCCGGGGGCCTTCTCTTCCAGGCTACCTAACCCTCAGTGGTTTCTGAAGACAGCTCCTCTCCTCCTCTAGCAAGAAAGACAGACTCCAGCTCCTAACGCCACTTCTGCCTCCCCACCTGGGCCAGTATCACTAACTGACCAGCGTGTCCCCATCCACAGCCAGCCAGGGCTGGGGAGTCACCCTCTGGAGGCAGACCCTCTCCGAGTCAGGGTCCCAAGTGCAGAGACCATTGAGCCTGCTCAGGCTGCCAGTATCCACACACACCCCGAATCCCGGCCGAGGACTCCCTGGGTAACAGGTCCTGAGGAGGATGCTACCTGGGAGAACAGCAGTCCTGTCTTCAGGGTCCACCAGGGTTATGGTGGGGATTTATTTCCACACCTATTCCCAGGTCAGAAAGAGAAACTCAGACCCAGATTTCTCCCTCATGAGGCCCTGTCAAAAATGACTCACTCTGGATCTCCAGCCCCAGCAGACGGAATCTTGTCAGCAGGTCCCAAATTCCCCTTGATGTGAAGGAGGTGAGGAGGGGACAGGCAATGGGCTAAGGACTCGGAAGATCCTGCCTGAGAGGGGACTACTCACTCGCAGGCACCTGCTGGAGGCTGAGCGTGCAGGTCAGACCTGCGGAGGACAAGGCCATCCTCATGCCTTGAGAATGATGTGGCACCCCTCCCACTCCTGAGGGCACACAGGACAGCGACCTGGACTGCTGGCTACTACCTTCGGGAAATAATCAGTGCAGATTGAGAAGAAAAACAGGACAGGAGCCAGAAGGAGATTAGGCAAGAATGGGAGAGATACAAAGCACCTCTAAAAATGTGAAAATGTGTTTCTTCCTCTGAGACTTTTCTCTCCCTCTCCCTCCCCGCCCTTCCTTCCTCCTCCTGTGTGTGCATGGTGAGCGGGGGTAACTAGGGATCAAACCCAGCCTCCCATGTGCTAGGGAAGCACTCACCGCTGAGCTACACCCTCAGTCCTCCTACTCCAAGAAAAAGCCAGTATAGAGAATAACAATTGCATTAGGCCAGGCACAAAGGTTGGGGGAAAGTTATGACTTCACAGTCTGGGAAATCTACCTAGATGTGAGACCCTGCCAACACATATAAAGCGCTGTGGGGAGGGGACTAAAAATGTATAAATCAGTACTTCTTATAGTCCTTATAGAGCTCAGCGCTGACATCCAGAGACCCCAACATTTCTGATGAAATTGAGCAGGTGCTACAGACAAGACAACCGGATGAGAAGATGCCCAAGTGGCACAGGGATGGGCAGGGGTGGGCAGGCTCCTACCCCCAGATGGACATGTGCCCACTGGTAGTCCAGACAGAGGCCCTCCACTAGAGGGATTCTGCGCTCCTGGCTAAGCCTCTCAGAACAAAAGCCCGGCAGATGTGCCCAAGCAGGAAGTCAGGAAGCTGTCCTACCTTGAACACCTTGATCTGGCAGCTGGCCGAATGCAGGTGCTCTGTGTACTCCCCATTCTCGTTCTGCTTAAACGTGTCGATCTGCACCCGGAAGGGCACTCCTTTCTCGCCCCCGTGCTTCCTGGGAGTGAACTCTGTGCTGATACAGTGCACCTAAGGAGAGGACGAGGGGCAGGCAGTCAGGCAGGGTGGGCAAGGCAGGTCTGGACTCCCCCAGGGTCGCTCACCATCCCTGCCACCTCCTATGTGGATCGGCCACCAGCTCCCTGCTCATCCAGGCCACTCCACCGAGCCTATGGACTCCAGGTCCTCCAGCTGCAAGACACACCCTACCGCCTCTGGCCCTTTTCCATCGGGCTCTGCTGAACACTCTGAGAACTTATCACTGCTCCAGGCCACTGTCCCTGACAACCCTGCTCTCGCTCCTCACCAAGGTACCTCTCCCTTGGCAAAGCCTACAGACTTCAGGGCAGGGACCTCGCCCCTTGAGCCCTCTCTGATGTCTAACCAGGCTGGACGCATAACCAGAATGCTGGAACCATTTCCACATTTCTGATGCACAGGATACATACTTGCTACAGTATGTAGCAATGTTATAGTAATGTAGTTTCTATACTATAGTATAGTAATATACTATGAAAACACAGTATGGGCCAGGGGTTCAGTTCAGTGGTTCCACTGTCCACCTTGTAAGCTCAAGGTTCCGAGTGTGATACCCGGTACCAACAACAACAATAATAAAAATAACAATAATAATAATAACATCATAATAATGATTCTTTAGTACAATAAGAATATTGGTTTAAAAAGAGATCGCTTTTCTTGAGTGATTCCCAAGGAACAGATACTGTGTTACACTTTTATATCCATGATCTGATTTACAAATAGGTGGGAAAACTCTGGGGTGGGCGGGGCACAGTGAAAGCAAAGGAGAGGGGACGGAGCCAAAGTGACCACAACCTGGGCCACCCTGACCTCACCTGGCGAGCAGTGGACCCACCCTATGGGTGGATAAAGAAATAACTAACTCAACAGTAGAAACTATAATGGGGAAAATGTTTACTTTCCAATTATCTCTGCTAGGAAATACTGATCTTTTTAGTAGCTTATGTAAGCACAACCCAAACAGGACTCCAGCACATTCCGCATCCCTTCTCTAACCCTGTTACCAGGTTAGCTCTGTGACTAAGCAGCAGGCTCCCACTTCCTCTCACTGTCAGCCCCGCCCACATGGGCTGCTTTGGCGAACTCGGCGGAATCCCAGAGCTCTCCAGCTTGCTCACCTGAATGAATGCGGACGCCCTCTTTGCAGGGTCCCATAAGAACTCAACTGTGTTCAGCTGGGTTGGGCTGGCCCTGGGGTCCAAGATACCGACAGACAGTGGAATATCTGTGCACACACACACAAAAGTGCAAGTGTCAGCCTCTCCCAAATGTTTAGAAGGATCCTTAGCATAGGTCCAAATTCCTTCACCACATTCTGAAGTGCCCAAAGCCCTGGAAAGTAAGTTTTGGAGAACTCTCTGGCAGAAAGCCTGACCTGAATCACTATAGAACTCTTAGGAGTCTGTGTCCCATATTGTTTTGCTGTAGAAATACTGCGGCCAGATGCCTGTTAGCAGTCTTCCCTACATTTATATGAGCCCTATCCTTCTAGCTTCTAAATTCCAAAATTCACCTGGCCCCAAGGGCTAGAAACAAAGCATTGTGGGCCAGTCCCCAAGTCCCCAAAATTCCACTTTCATTGCCCATCTGTTTCTGCCATGCTCACCCTTCCTTCAGCATCCTCTGCAAAGCCTTCTGAGAATTCCCTCAGAACAGGGCTTTCTGAGAGCCTCAGCCTGGCACTCACCAATATCCAGGATGCGGTCCCCCGGCCGGCTCCACCGCCAGCCTTCCAGCTGCTGGTGCTCGGTGTACTGCAGCCGGCGGTCGTGGAAAACCACTCGAATGATGCTCTGGGGAAGACAGGGGACGGGGGCGACTGGGCATGGGGCCAGGGGGAGCCCAGGAGGAACCCCAACCACCTCCCACCCCAGCCAGGGCAGACCCGCCCCACATTTCCAGCCTCCCCGCTCGGTGGCTCCCGCCCAGTCCTCAGTACCTGTGTACTAGTCCCTCTCAAAACCCTAAGAATCCTTAGCATGGTAAAAACGATGGCTACCTTTTTATTTTTTAGTACTGGGGATTGAACCCAGGGCCTTTGCACTACATCCCTAGCTCTTTTTATTTTTTATGTTGAGAGAGGGTCTCACTAAGTCACTGTGTTGCCAGCAGCTAAGCTTGAATTGGTGATCCCCTGTATCAGCCTCCCACACTGCAGAGATTACAGATGTGCACCACCACAGTCAGCTTAATGGCTACCATTTCCCCAGGGTTACCAGAAGCTTTACGTTCACATACTTTGCAAACCCTCCATGTGGATGAACAAACTAAAGCTCAGAAAGGTTTCACAATGGCAAAGACCCAGAGCCTGCTCCATTGGTCCCAGCCACTCTGGCCCTGAGGCTGCCACCCTGTTGGCTCTACATTGGGACACGACACTCCAGAGACCAGGAACAGGGCCTCAGCGCACCCCTGAAGGCCACACAGAGCACCATCTCTCCCTCTGAGGCCCCTCCCCACCGCCGGCCAGCCCCACATCCCTGACCTCCAAGTGTGAGCAGCTCCCCCCACACAAGGCTTACCTTGACATATTTTGTGTTTAGATCTTGAAAGTCTCCCAACTTCCGGTTCTCCAGCAGTCGGATTTCATATGATTGACCTGCAGGGAAGTTAACGCTACAAGTTCCATTTCTGAGTATTTTTACATTTGGGATCATTCAGCTAGCAGCCTTCTTGATGCTCTCAGGACTCAGCCATGCCTCATGTTTCAGGGTGTGAGGGAAAGAAAGTCTATGGTCAGCTAAGCTCACTCTCTAGATGGAACCCCTGGGTTGTCCATTCAGCCTGGTGGACCTCGGACACCACAAGAAATGCACTGTGGATTCTTTACCTTGGCAGTGGCCAAAGACATGGAAGCCAAGAAAATAATTTAGCCTTAAAACCAGAGAACATGACCCTGTATCTTCACAAGGAACCCACACACACGCCTCAGCAGAGAACACTCAAATTGATAGAACCTGACAAATAACTGACCGCACCACTGCAAGCTTAAAGGAAGAAGCCTGTTAAACATTGTCCCTAGTGGCAGAGCTCAAAGCATTCTCCCCAGTCAAAAGAATTCCATGTATTTGAGGGTGTGGGGTGCTACCCAGTGATGTACAACCAAGATAAGCTGGTGAAAATGCAATGGAAAAAATAGCCATCCATAAAAACAATACAAAACTCAACAGTATCTATTAAGAACTTGAAGGAAACGACACATTTTACAGAATGGTAGAATACAAGTTGGATAAAAAGGACACAGCATGTTCCTGGATGGAAGATGACAAATACATATCAAATGAAGTCCATTTTTCCCCATATAAATATGAAACACACTAGCATATATCACAGTTACTAAAGGATGCTTCATAAGTAAAATAATAAATTATTTATCAGACTTGGAAAATCAAATTCTTTTTTCTTTCAGTATTGGGGGCTGAACTCAGGACCCCACCTGTGCTAAGCAAGTGCTCTACCACTGAGCCACATCCCAGCCCCTTTTCATTTTTAGTTAACTACAGGCCCACCTGAATGAAGATGTGACATCTTACAGAACGGCACTACACTAAGAACACCCTGACCATACGCGTTCCACAGAGCTATAGACCTTACTGGGATTTCCCTGGGTTTTGCATTCATTTATATTCATGTTTTCTCTCAATCTGAAACTCAAACCTCAATGTCTCCCTCAATTTCTTTCTCAATCCTGCCCCCACCACACACAATTTCATCCCTTCTCAGCCAAGCAAAGTGGTACATGCCTGAGTTCTAGAAGTATCCTAGAACTCAGGAGGCTGAGACAGGAGGATCACCATGAGTTCGAGGCCAGTCTTGGCTACAAAGTGAGTGAGGGCAAAGCCTGTCTGGATTATATAGCAAGACCTTGTCTCAAAACAAAAACAAACAAACTCCCCCCAAAAAACAAAGTACACATTCTCACTTTACAGCATATACCAAAATAAATGAACACTGGATTAAAAATTCAATTTCTTAGGTGGGGGAGGAAAAAGAAATACTAGTCAAAGGATACAAGTGTTAGAAGGGAGGAATAAATTTAACAGTTCTGTTGTACAACATGATGATGAATATCAATAATAACGATAATGGGGCCAGGGATGTAGCTCAGTGGCACTGCACCCGCCTTGCAAGATTCTGCATTTCATCCAGGTACTAGAAAAAAATAATAATAATGGACTGTGAAATATGGTAAGAATGGATATTAAGTTCACTACAAAAAAAAAAGGTATGTTGGGCAATGCCTATATTCATTAGCTCATTATAGCCACATCATAATGCACACTTATTTCAAAATAGATTTTAAAACTCAATTTTTTAAGGTTTTATTTCAATGTGAATGACGACGTATCAGACACCTAATAGGAAAAGACTCTGGGACTGAAAAATCAATGAGTAAAAGGAAACCTACTAGATAAAATGTAAAACAACATATATAAGCATAACTGTAAAGAGCTACTTAATGCAAATAAAAAAGTAGGAAAAGCAAAACTACCGGCTAACAGTTATTACATAGTTTTAAAAAGCAGCCAATTCAATAAATCTAAGGGCTGGGGCATAGCTCAGTGCCAGGAGACCTACCTAGAATGTGCAAGGCCCTGGGTTTGATCACCAGCCCAGAAAGAAAAGGGAAAAGAAAACTAAGTGTCTTCGTTTTTTTTTCAGCTTTAATTGAGTTTATTGGTACATTTTAGGGATACAGTACAGTTACATTCATTGTTGGGATCTTGTACCTCTACATGACAGGTCTTGGTTCTCATTTTTTCCCCTTGTCCCTGCCCTCCCTTCACCCCCTCCTCCCCTCCCCATCCACAAACACTTTATTTCCATCTTTTCGTTATCTCACATTTTTTTCTTTTCCCTTATTACCCTTCCCCTACTCGTCCCACCTTCCCTACACCTTTAGCTCCTTTCTTCCCATTTCTAAATGTCAGTAATCTTATTAGGATCTTACGTATTATTGCAGATTATTCACACCAGGGAAACTATTCAGTATTTACACATGTGTGATTTATTTATTTCACTTAGGAGTATATCTTCAATATGTATCCATTTTCCTATGAATGAATCTATTTTCTCGTTCTTTATGGCTGAGTAATATTCCATTTTATAGAAAAACCACATCTTCTTTATCCAGTCTTTTAGTGGGCTGAGTATGGTCCCCGACGAGATGTCTGTGGCCCTACTTCCATACTGGGAATGGTGACCTTATGCAGGGTATGTGCAGACACAGACTTCAGCTGATAGAATAAGTTCAGGATTCTGAGATGAGGAGTGAGCCCAGATTATCCCAGTGGGCCCTAACTCCAGGGACGAATGTCTTTACTGAGAGACACAGAGAAGGTGGGGGCCATCTGACCACAGAGACAGAGCCTGGACTGCTGTGGCCACGAGCCAAGGGATGCAGAAGCTAAGGGGCAAAGGAATCCCACCCCTGGGTCCCCAGGAGGAGACTGGCAGGTCCCTGGGGATTTCCTACTGCCAGCCTCCAGCGCGGAGAGAGAATAGCTGCCTGTCTCTGCGCATGTGTGTGGGCGAATACCTGTGTGTGCTCCCAGGGGCTGAACCCAGGGCTTCACGCTGTGTTACATCCCCAGCCCTTTTGGGCTTTATTTTTTTTTTTTTTAATTTTGAGGTCAACACACAATCAGTAATTTGTTTCAGCAGGCAAAAGAAACAGATCTGTCACCACTCCACACCAGTGAATAACGAAACAGGCAAAGAACAGGAAATGAAATCAGTTATCCCAAATACTTGCTGAGCAGCAATGACAAGCCAAGTGCCCTGCAATCCTAGGGACACAGTAGTGACCACCGTGCGCATCCCAGCGCTCGCTCACCACAGCGGCGGACACCATGATGGCCACACACGGACAGGCCCACCCAGCCAGCCCTGCCTCAATCCGCACAGGTGCCTTCAGACGTGACCAGCGCATGCTCTGTGCACACGCGCACCACGCCCAGCTCTGCTCTGGGGAATGGCTGGGTACCGTTCTCAGCACAGGGAAGGACAGCAAACCCCAAACTCGCATCCTGACCACCTGCCTGCTCAGGAGAGACAGGCCCTGAAAGGGTGGTGGTGGCCTAATCAGAAGGGCAACTTTCCGAGGGAGGCAGATTTTCAGATTTACTTCCGGGCGTCTGAACCAAGAGTCCAGTAAGCCCTCCGCCATGGACATAAAAAAGAACCTTACACACCCTAACTGGTTTTTCCAGTGCTCCCCGCCTTTCCTGATGAAGAATGTAGATGGCGCTGGCAGAGGCCCAAGGGCTGAGTGGTCATTCTGAGAGTTTACAGCTGCCCCCGGGAGCCAATTAGTACTGACCCAGGCTCTGCAGGGCAACTTCCACGAAGGCCAGGCAGAGGGGCACATCCTGTCCCGGAGAGCGTCTGTCCGCCTAAGGGGCAGCACTACTGAGTGAGCACAGGGCTGAGCAGCACACACAACCCAGGCTTCGCAGGGCATAGGCTGTGGCTCCCACTCAAGCCCCAGAGCGGAGAAATGCCCACAGCCCGGGAAACTCAGCTTCCACAACCTCACTCACTAGAACAGGATGAGGCCAGGAGCTCAGCCCAGCTTCTCCAGCAGCAGCAACTTCACTGTCATTGCTTGCTGAAGGCCCTGTGCCGGCCACACCACCCCTCCCACGTCCTGCCCACACCTACCTCAAGGGCACAACGACGGCACCAACCTCTGCACAGCGCATGGTGCCCTCCAGAAGGCCACCGTCCAGGGACACGCACCCCGCGAGGAGCGAGGTCACACAGCTGACCTGACCTAGGGCACTACTCACGTATCAATTCGCCTGAGTCCCAGGATGAGTTAACAGCGGCAGCGGCCCTTAGACAGGGGAAGCAGAGGCCCAGAGAGGTTATCCGGCACGGGAAAGCTCACTCAGGTAGGCAAGGAGTCTAAGTTGCTTCCAGCACCCACCATACTATGCAGATCCTACCTGCTGGACACAGAGGTGCACAGGCTCCCTTGCACTACTCCTTTCTGCAAGGCATCTGCTTCCACCGTGCTCTCTTATTCAGGTCTGCCTGAAGGGTACCACTGCACAGCTCCCTCCCAAGAGAAACTACAAACCGCAAACAGATAGGCGGCAACTAAGGTGCAACAGCCGCTGGGGAACCCGGTGGAGCGCCGAGCACCGGGCGCACCGGGGTGTGGAGCGGGGCTCACTCACAGGCCACTGCTTTCTGCCATCTCCAAAATACAGACAACGTAATACACAGAGTGCACCCCGCAGAACAAATGGGACTCAGGGGGGTCCTGGCGCAGGCAGGAGGAAGTAGCCCAGCAGACGGGGAACCAGACAGGGAATGTGGCACTGGAAAAAGGCTTCCAGGCAATTCCTCCAAAGAACTGGACAGCCCTCTGCTTTCAAGCTGTAAAGGCTTTTTAACCACTAGCAGGGAAAGAGCCCCAGGTCACCCTGGGATGTAAACTAGCCTGTGGCAGGTGGCTGCAGCCCAACCAAGGTGACCTGAGAAGTACGGCAGGAACCGAGGCAGCCTCTGACCCCACCCACCAGCAGTGTGAGCTGAGCTCTGGTGACACCTTTACTGCTGCAGACCAGGGACTCCAGGCCATACTGTCTC